AAGTACTACTTATAATCTTTAAATCCTATATCTAATTATATTATAATCACATCTTATCTCAATCATAAGTCTAGACTGTAAAAATAATCAATCAATATTCATTGAAAGCTACCCCTCTGAAGGGAGAGGGAGGAGCATCTCGGGAACAAGAAGCGCCCAAGATACCTTGCATCACTACGCGTTTGTTGACAACTGAGAGAACAGTGACGGATCCTTAGCGAACATTATTTAGCTCAGGACATCTTATCTAATTATCTTTATCACCAGTGAATGCTCTCTAGAACTGGGGGAGTACCTGGACAATATATCTACAAGGGAAATGCCTAGAACATTTATATCTATAAGTGTAGAGTGGAGCACACAGTGACTTGTCTCCACCTTCACCATCAACCCTCACCTTTATACAACACAGTTAAAGAAAAATCACGTAGCAACGCTACTAGCACATCTACAGCAAAGCTGTTATATAAAATATCGTGCCTAAACTCGCGACAAGAGTTATCAAGTCTGGCACACTGTCAGACAGGCACCCGGCAAGCAGAGAAGTATATTGATGTTATTTAGTATTGATTGGCCAATTGTATGCTTGTATAACTTTAATATCCTATAAGTCTGTCGGATATAAAGTGAGGCAACGCCTCATATCTCAGTAAGTTTATTAATAGTAGTGCAGCAGTAGAATCTTATCCAAGCACTAGACCTCATGAGTGTTCATTGTGTCTGGCACACTGTCAGACAGGCACCCGGCAAGCAGAGAAGTATATTGATGTTATTTAGTATTGATTGGCCAATTGTATGCTTGTATAACTTTAATATCCTATAAGTCTGTCGGATATAAAGTGAGGCAACGCCTCATATCTCAGTAAGTTATTAATAGTAGTGCAGCAGTAGAATCTTATCCAAGCACTAGACCTCATGAGTGTTCATTGTGTCAGAAAAGATTCAATCGCAATAAATAAACAAGACCTCATAAGTGTCCATGGTGTTGGAAGAGATTCAGTCAAGCTGACTGTACCTAATCATATAAATTGAATATAAATACATTGCATATATATACTTGTATATATAAATTAAGTTAACAATTGCTTGCTTAGTTATTTTTAAGTTATCATATAAGTTCATTTAATTGAATATAATTTCTAGTACTTAGGTAACAATACTTAGACTACATTTAAAGTCATTTATTATACTTTTACAATTTAAATTGTTGTTTTATAGTATAAGTATATATTGGCTGTTAATAGTTATGGTGCTAGGCTAGCTATGTACATGTTTAAATCTCTGATTTAAACAGAGCCAGTGTTCAGTCATATAACTGAATTTATTAAATTTTATCCTTGTATAAAATACAAGCTGATGTGGAATACCTGTTGGCAGGTGGACTGTGGATCTTCAATCAACCTATCAACCAATTCATTCACCCCACCTGCCCCTTACCGCCCACAATCTGTCTTTAGGAAAAGAGGAGCTAGGATTTACAACCCTAGCTAGAGATTTTAGTTCAATTAATTTGCAGTCAGTAATTTTTAATTTAGTTCAGTACAAGTCCCTGGTAGTCTCCTCTCATATCAATCCCAGCAGGTTTTTCCCACACCTGTCATCCCATTGTGCTCTCACGCCGTGGACGAGCGAGAGACCAGCTGTCAGGCCACCGATGAAGATGCTTGCATGAATGACCATGATTGAATGGTGAGGGCTAGCTGACCTGTAAGTACAAGATCCTGTTTTTCTTATTAAAGTGTCTTTCTGTGTTGATCTGAGTGGTCAACCAGAGTTTTCTCCTTCTCAACACCTGACACAGGTATGGGTAGAAACCAAGAAACACCCAAGGGTGGTGTATACGTGTTTATCTATGTGGTGTTACGACATTACACCCGTCAGTGAATGTGAGCTTCACAAACGCCACACATTTAGTTATTGTATAATATAATTAGTGTGCATGATTATTGCCTGACCCTTGACAGTGCCATTGTTGGTTTATTGTGCATGATCAATGCCCACGAATCCTGTTTGGAACGCCTGTGTCTCTTTGTACACTGGCACTGATAGGTATGCCGTGTTAGTGATTGGCTGTCAATCGTGTTAAGTTAGGTTTTGTCCTCGAGTGGATCAGAATTGATTAGTTTGACGTCAAGAGTCTCGCAAATACAATAACAGCTTTCCTGTCACCACTGTAGAGTGTAAATCAAGCACCCCATTGTATTAGTGGTTAAGTAGAAATAAACTACTGTTAAACTTTATGTGTTGTTTCCATTACAGTCTTTTCAAAATACTAAGTAAATTCTGCTATTACTCTTAAACCTTCAGCCCCAGTTGTGTTCAGCACCGAATATCCTATTAATCACTAAACTATATTGACCAGACCGCACACTAGAAGGTGAAGGGACGACGACGTTTCGGTCCGTCCTGGACCATTCTCAAGTCGATTGTATTAAGGAAGATTGATTGATTGATAAAGATTAAGTCACCCAAAAGGTGGCACGGGCATGAATAGCCCGTAAGTGGTGACCCTTGTGAGTCATTACCAGTATCAATAGATGATACTGGAGATCTGTGGAGGTGCTACTGCACCCTGCTTGATGGGAGATGTTTCCCGTCGTGATGAGGAAGATTGATTGAATGATAAAGATTAAGCCACCCAAGAGGTGGCACGGGCATGAATAGCCCGTAAGTGGTACAAATTATTTTTTTTCAGTATTCTGAGGTTGCATTTAATCATCAAGCTGTTATCGCGGGGAGGATACTGCTTCACAGTCTTTATGAGGGTGTCCAGCTGCTGGACACCTTTGTTGACCAGAAGAGTGGCTGTGTTGATGGCTTCAGGGTGGCCACTGCAAGATTCAGGAACTCTTAAAGCTCTTCTAAGGTCTAAGAAGGTCACTATCTTCTGGTTGCTTCACATTCCAGAAGATAGTGAAGTAATGGCTTTTCTGTGACAGTTTGGCAGAAGATGCACTCTCTCTGTCGGGGTTCACCAATCTCCTAGTTGCATCTGTAACCTAGTCTATATAACCTAACTGCTATTTCCCTGTGGATTCCTTTTGGGATATTTAACCTTTCTAATTTGGTTGCCTGAAGATACCATGTTGCAGATGGCGAACCTTCAGCTATTCTCTGGTGTAGGTAGGCTTTGTTGAGATGTGAGAGTTTTTTTGGTGATGATGTTTTTTATGTTCTCTAGGCTGGGTTGAATTGTTTGATGTATCACTGGATGACGAGTTGCCAATTTAGCAATTTCATCAGCTTTCTCTTTAATGGGATTCCAACATGGGATGGGATCCAGTTTAAGGTTATGTTGAGTCCTTTGCCTTTAGCGACTGCTCCAAGATACAAAATGGTGGTAATTATTTCCACGTTATCTTTCCACTGTTTTTGTCCTAGTATTTGAAGTGCAGCTTTTGAGTCTGTGTGTATGATTGCATTTTGAGTGTTTTGTTGCAATCACATATGCGAATGCCTGTTGTATGGCGAACAGCTCAGTTTGGGTTGAAGATACTAGTCCTCCCAGTCTCCAATATGCCTGTACGCTGGCTGTGGAAAGAGCAGCGCCAGCACTCTCATTTTCTGTGTCCACCGATCCGTCTGTGAAGATGTGGGTGGCTCCTGCTACTGCTATGCTATACATTTGCTCCTCTATTATGCACCCTAGGATTGTCGGATCATGGGCAGCCTTTTTTATTGGGAGACTTTCTATTACTATTTTTAAAGTAGGCTCTTCCCACAGTGCGGAAGGAGTATAATTTGGGTGTGGATCTTCCCTCTCTATCAAGATTCATGCTTTTTAAATGTAGTCTGTTTAGAACTTTTCCTGCTCTTGCAACCCAAGAGTTTCCATTGTTTTGGCCTAGTCCAACCACCAAGGCCTGCCGTACTGGGATTGGGTCAGAAGAAATAATTATATTACTGATAATTGTAGCTGTCCTGTGTGATATTCTTTCTTGCAGAGAGGGCAAACCCGTCTCCAGTCTAAGAGTTTCAAGCCTGGTCCACATGGGGGCTCCCAGTGCGGCTCTCATAGCATTGTTTTGGGCAACTTCAAGCTTTTTCCATTGTTGGTGTGATAGATTTGTGAGTGCAGGTGCGGCATAATCGATCACTAATCTGACTGCCTGTACATAGTATGTGCAAAGGACTTGCAGATTGGCTCCTCCAGAGAGGGAGGTTAGTGATGAGGAATTGATTGATTGATGAAGATTAAGCCACCCAAGAGGTGGCACGGGCATGAATAGCCCGTAAGTGGTGGCCCTTTTGAGCCAGTACCAGTATCAAGAGCTGATACTGGAGATCTGTGGAGGCGCGACTGCACCCTGCGTGACGGGAGATGTCTCCCGGACCAAGTGGTGACCAGATGGTGGTGATGAGGAAGTTGATGCAGGCAATAAATAGGCAAGAGAGAGGTGAGGAGCAAGATAAGGTGTAGTAGAGGGGATAGTAGTAGGAATAAGAACTGTAAAAGGCCCATTGGCCCAAACGAGGCAGCTCCTATTATAACCACCGAATGAGAAGGGGATAGTAATAGGAATAAGAAGAGGATAGCAGGGTAACATAAGAGAAAACAATAAACAGAAAGAAGAGAGAAAGTAAAGGAAAGAGAAAGAGAGATAAATGGAAGGGTAAGCTTATGTTCAACGTGTTCACGTGGAACTGCAATATTCTCATTTTAATTTTTTTTTTTTTTTTGAGATATATACAAGAGTTGTTACATTCTTGTACAGCCACTAGTACGCGTAGCGTTTCGGGCAGGTCCCTGGAATACGATTCCCTGCCGCGAAGAATCGTTGTTACATCCAAGTACACATTTTACTGTTGCGTTAAACAGAGGCTACAGTTAAGGAATTGCGCCCAGTAAATCCTCCCCGGCCAGGATACGAACCCATGACATAGCGCTCGCGGAACGCCAGGCGAGTGTCTTACCACTACGCCACGGAGACTGTAAATTAAATTAAATTAAATTAAACTAAATTATTCATTTAGTACTTCTAGATAAATAAAACCACAATTAATTATTAATTCACAAATAATATTTAGGTGATTCAGTAACAATCATTATTCAGGATGAAGAGCAAATGGTGGTCCTTCTAAAGTTAAGTAGTTTAAGAGTTATCTTCGGTCAACTGTGCTGACCAAATACTTTAGATTAATTCAGTTAAACAATTCAGCATTAAATGGACTAATTTTAAGTTAAATAAATATTACAGTAATGAACTAAAACTCCTGCTGTTAAGTTGTGTGGCAAAATATAGCACATCCAATAAGCAGCCCACTGAAGGTTAGATACATTACTGAAACAATACCATTGCCCACATAACCCAACAACATCGTCGAAAATATAAACAATGCAATACAATACTTGATATATAGTCAGAAAGAAGGTGACGTGTGAGGTGAAAAAAACAATGTCTTTATAATATGGGTTCATAAACATCAGAGGACGATCTAAGTGCAGAAAGTCTAGTGGCCAAGACACGTGAGTGCTTGGAAATAATGTCCCTATGAGACTTACTGTTGTTTGCATTGTCAAACATTAATACACATATTTTACACAAAGTGCAGACTCCTGATCAGACTTAGCGGTTTCCCTTAGGAGTCATTATGACCCCAAATCTTAATCTCCCCCCCACCCCCTCCTCCTCCATTGTATTTGGGAAAATATTTTGCTTTCTTGACATATTATGCACTTAAGGGCTAAATTGTTGGTTAGAACATGCGAGGATGCTCCTATTTATGTCTACCTAAACTCAGTCATATGTCTAACTAATGCTTAAAATTATCTCGTAAACCCACGTCAATTATGTTACAGGCAGTTTCTTCCATAAAACAACAACCTTCTTCCATTCCAGCATCTACCCAGGTCTTTCATTAACCTGAACGTTTTCAGTATGTTGATATATATATGAAATCCATTGAGTTGAAATACATAAAATCATGTTTATTTACTTGCAGCAAACAAGATAAAAGCAGGTTAGAGCATTCCTTCCTAACATTGCCACGTTCTCATATGGCACAACCACTGTGTTGGGATGCTGAAGCAACACAATACTTCTCACTGATTATTTGTGTTCATCTCAATTGTACAGTTCAGGTCAAGCTGATTCTGAGAATCCTGGTCAGCGTCTTGTGCTGCATGTTTCCTTCCTCTGATCTGTGCGGGGAGTCGGGGTCCAAGTCATTCATATTAAGTAATATTATATAAATGCTAATGCGGATCTTTATAAACTACCAAATAAAGAATATGTAACAGGAAATTAAGACAAAATTGCTATAGGAACAGTTAAATTCTAACTACGTAATATCGTTACCAATTCTGGATAATTGTAATTTATTCAGGATAATTTTTTAATTAATAATATATATATGTGGATATTAAGAGTGTTATCAAGCTACTCCTGAAAACCTTCTTCATGATAGGCCTACGGCGGCTACCAAAAACATATTTTATATAAAGTTGCTCTAGAAAATATTGTGTAAGTATAGGCAGTATAATAAGATACCGCTGACAACTTAATATCTGATCATTTTCCCTAAGTTCCTAAGTGAGACTGCCAATGCTATTCCAAAATACTAAGAATTTCGTTCTTCCTAAAGTTAATTGAGGAAAATGTTCATTATTGTTATCTTAGCTAAGTTACATCAGGAAACATTCTAGATTGTCTTTCCTCAGTTATTATAAACAAAAATTAAGATTATTTTCCTTTCAGCGCTACTTTTTGGAACTTCTAAAGTATACTTCCACCTAAGTAACTTCAAAAGACATTCTAGATTTTTGTCCCTTATAAGTTATTCCCGATGATCTATAGCGTTATCTTGATAAAGTTACCACAGAAAACTTACTGTATTATGAAGTCTTTTTATAAACCGCACTGAACGAAGGTCTTTAATGAGACGTTCATTCATGAGGACGGTGGTCATAAAGATACCGAGGCCCTGAAGGGAGTTGAGCACAGTGAACACGAAGGCCAGCACTTTAGTCTCTGTGGAGGAAATATGGGTTGAGCACAACAACACCAAGGTCAGCACTTTAATTAGTCTTGATTTTTTACCATTAATAATTTCTGACTTTCTACTACAAGAGAAACTGGTGTTTATTTAAGCAAGTTTGCTTAAAAGACTGATGGTGAGATGTGGTTGTTGTGCCAGAAGCTGTGAATATGTTGACTGCGTCCATGTGATAAATATCTTTTTGTTATGATTATATTTGATACCTATATGGGGCACCCGGGAGTGCTCCGGTCTCTGCCCCCATCTCTCTCTCTCTCTCTCTCTCTCTCTCTCTCTCTCTCTCTCTCTCTCTCTCTCTCTCTCTCTCTCTCTCTCTCTCTCTCTCTCTCTCTCTCTCTCTCTCTCTCTCTCTCTCTCTCTCTCTCTCTCTCCCTCTCTCTCTCTCTCTCTTTCTCTCTCTCATCTAAATAGATCCATTTGCACTCTCACCTCTCCACCTTTACCTCCCTTTCATTTCTACTTATCATCTTCCCTCTGCCCATCCTTTCTTCTACCCCTTTCACTCCTTCACTCATTTTCTCACTCTGCCCCCTTCTCCTCCCTTCCTCTGTCAGCAAATGTAATATTACGAATCACTGAAAAAATATACTTAAAACTCTACCAAAAACAATTTCCTATGTCATATATAAATAAAATTGCGAAGTTCGCTAAAGTTGCCGATATTTTCTAAGGAGGTGGCATTGTGGCCGACCCCGACTGGCCTATGAGCCTCCCATACCCACATTTATTTCATCTTGGAAAGTTGCGTGAGATTAACCCCAAGTGTCTAGACTACTACTTTGAACAGGAAGTCAAATATTCAAACATTCCTTTTCACTGATATAGTATCATATGAATACTTGCACCTTGGCAGACACAAATTACATTTTCAATGTACAGTGTGTCTTTCCTAAACGGAGCGAGAATGTAGCCGAAAGGTTACATCACATCTGATTATTGACATCACAATAGTAGAAAACCAGGTGGGGGGGGGGGGGGTAACACATGCCAAAATAATATCGAGAAAGCAGCATGACCAATTCATCACGACAGTTGATGTGGTGGTCATGGTTATGATGACATGTGTTACCCCAGCAATATAACAGCAGCATCACGGCAGTAGAGACCCAGGTGTGAGAGCAACAAAGAACATCTCGAGTTACCTTTAACGGCGTAGAGGAAACCGGAGGACCAGGTAAGGCCGAGAATGAGGAAGAGAGCGAGGGAGCCCCTCATCTTGACAGGAGGCCTCTGGGGACCACCCTGGGTCTGCCTCCTGCACGCCACCCTCACAGCGAAGATGAAGCTCACCATATTACACTGGTTGAAGGCCAATACACACAACAGAAACATAATTTAATATATATTTAGTTATACCATACAATAAATAATTAAATTTGCCTGATAAAATTCTAAATAAAGAAACCTCAGGTTTCTTGAACCAAACTATGTACATATAATTTAAATACCATTGCTGCAAGTTATCCTTGATCAGAGAGAAATTGAACGATTATTGGATCAAGAATGACATCACTTACTCAACTATTTTGTTTACCAGGTAATAATTTTGGTCACTCTGTGCTCAACAATTTCAAATTAGTTCATAAAATTCTCATATACGATGTTAACTGGACTACAATATTTTTGATCAGGATTTAGCAGTTAGCAGCATTTCAGTGCTATAAGGACGAGGCTAACCACAAAACGAAGGTCTAGCTAACCACCACACAAGACACTAACCAACTAGCCAACCATCACTCACTAAGACACTAACCTTAATACTATCCACCACACATTTTACTAACCAGCTAACAATGTACTATTCAACTAACAAGGCACTAACTAAATAACAAGACAATAATCATAATTTTAGTGGACCAGCCAGAGGCTAAGGGCCCGCGCAGAAATATCCCTGAAAAAAGCAAGCGCTAACAAATTAGCATAGTATTAACCAACTACAGGACACTAACCAGCAAACAAGGCAATAATCCAATAACAAGGCACTAACCAACTAACATGCAACTAACCAACTAACATGATACTAGCTAACTAACATTTGTCAGCTACCAATGCACTAACCAACAAACAAGGAACTAACAATTAACAAGGAACCAACCAACTAACAGGGCACTAACAAACTGACATGGCACTAACCAAGTAACAGGACACAAACCAACTAACAGGACACTATTCAACTAAACGGACACTAACCAACTAAGAAGGTACTAACCAACAAGGAAATAATCAACTAACAAGGCGCTCTCAATCTAACAGGACACTAACTAATAAGGCACTAACCAACTAATAATGCACTAACCAACTAATAAGGATCTATCCAACTAATAAGGCACTAACAAGCAAGGCACTAATCAACAAATAATCCTCTAACCAACTAACAAGACACTAATCAACAAATAATCCTCTAACCAACTAACAGAACACAAACCAAATAATAATGCTCTAACTAGCAGGACACTAACCAACTAACAGGACTCTCACAGACTAATAATCAACTAACGAACTAATAATGAACTAACCAATTAATAATGCTCTAACCAACTAATAATGCTCTAACCAACTAACAGGACACTAACAAATAAGGCAATAACCAACTGACAAGACATTAACAAACTTACATGGCACAAACCAACTAACAAGGCACTAACTGACTAATAAGGCACTAACCAACTAACAAGGCACTAACTGACTAATAAGGCACTAACCAACTAACAAGGCACTAACTGACTAATAAGGCACTAACCAACTAACAAGGCACTAACTGACTAATAAGGCACTAACCAACTAACAAGGCACTAGCCAACTAATAAGGCACTTACCGACTAACAGGACACCAACCAACTAAATAGACACTAACCAACTAATAATGCACTAATCGACTAATGAGGCACTAACCAACTAACAAGGCATTAATCAACTAACAAGACCCTAACCAACCAACAGAACACTAACCACCTAATGATGCTCTAACCAACTAACAAGGCACTAATCAACTAACAAGACCCTAACCAACCAACAGAACACTAACCAACTAATGATGCTCTAACCAACTAACAAGGCACTAATCAACTAACAAGACCCTAATCAACCAACAGGACACTAACCAACTAATGATGCTCTAACCAACTAACAAGGCACTAATCAACTTACAAGACCCTAATCAACCAACAGGACACTAACCAACTAATGATGCTCTAACCAACTAACAAGGCACTAATCAACTAACAAGACCCTAATCAACCAACAGGACACTAACCAACTAATGATGCTCTAACCAAATAATAAGTCACTAAACAACTAACAGGATACAAGCTAACGAACAAGACACTAAGAAAGCAATTAACAACTAACAAGTCACTAACAAACTTAGTGGGCCAGCCAGAGGCTTAGGGCCCGCGCAGGAATATCCCTGCCAAAAAAAACTAGCAAAGCACTAACCAACTAACAAGACACTAAACAACTAATAATGCTCTAACCAACTGATAAGCACTAACCAACTAACAAGATACTAGCCAACGAACAAGACACTAACTAACAAGTCACTAAGTAACTAAGAATCAGTGTCCTATTTGCCTTATTGCGAACATTCATGCATAGAACCTTTGGTTTTAAATTCTTACTAATGATAACTCCCAGATCCCTTTCGCTATCCGACTTCGCAATCTCAACACCATCTAGCTCGTATCCAGGCGCAGACAGTCGCAGTGAGAGGGTGTGTTAGCCGGAGGTCCTGAGTGTAGTTATATTATAATAGCAATATGGAATTTGTAGTGAAGGAACTGATGAATCTAGTTGCAGCTCTGAGGACAGAGTTAGACTCTCTACGGGAGGAGGTACGACAGCTGAAACAACATCGAGAAGAAACGAAGGGCACTAGTAGTAAAAAGACCTCGTCTTGGAAAGTTGCAAAGGACAGGGGCCTTAAGAAGACTGATAAAACCGCCTACAGACGCCCTAAGGACTTCTAATTCATTTGCCGTATTGGAGGACGAGTGCTGTGGTGAGACTGCGGATCATGCGAAAGGGAAAGCAACGAAGAACAACGAAGTGCAGGCCCCTCAGAGAGTAAAGGAAGTGCCTAAGCGAACTTTAGTTGTGGGAGATTCCCAGATAAGGTATTTGGATTGAACGTTTTGTGCTTGCCTAATCACTTTCTTTATACACTTGCCTAAGCACTTTCTCAATACACCTATTTAAGCACTTTCTCAATACCTTTATCTAAACACTTTCAATACATTTACCTAAGCACTTTCTCAATAAATTTACCTAAGCACATTTCCCATACACTTGCCAAAGCACTTTATACACTTACCTAAGCACTTTCTCCATACCATACACATACATAATCATACATTTGCCTAAGCACTTTCTCCATATACTTACTTAAGCCCTTTATCCATACATTTAATTAGGAACTTTCTCCAGACACTTGCCTAAGCACTTTATCCAGACACTTGTCTAAGCACTTTATCCAAACACTTACTTAAGAATTTCTCCATACACTTGCTAAACACTTCCTCCATATGCTTAAGAACTTTCTCCATACACATAAGCACTTTCTCAATGCACCTACTTAAGCACTTTCTCAGTACACTTGCCAAAGCACTTTCTCCATATACTTAAGCACTTTCTCCATTCACTTGCCTAAGCACTTGGATTCGTGGCGAGTGTATATTTACAAATGCATAAGTTCAGTCTAGTGATTCAAGTTTGATAACACTCGAAGGATTTTCTTCGCGACGCGTAAAGTTCATAAGTGTTCATTGCGATGTATGAATTAATTCTGATTTATCATTCGACCTACAAACTTTGATGGTCACAGGTTTGAGTTCTGGCCAGCAAAGATTGACTGGGCGCCAATTCTAATCTTTTCGCACCTGCTCTCCCACCAGCAATTGGGTTCCTGATTGTTAGCCGAACGGCGGGTTGTGTTTCAGGGAAAATTTGTGTGTAAGGCTTACCATGAGCTACGGGAAGGGAAAGCTCTCAGCCTGCGAACAGGGGTTAGGAGTCGTCTGTTCCTTTACTCACTTTGTTAAGGAATAAAAGTCCATATATTTCCATTTGTATTACCTCAAAATAATGTCAAGGTCACTTCAAGATTAGTGCCCTTGAATTACATAAAATTTATATGAAACAAAACAGATTTTCTAAACATTTGACTAAATTTCCAATCAGTTTATTCAGTTTTTAATTAGTTGACGATGCGCAAATATAGCATAATTTCCTCGCAAGATACTCTGTTCCTAAGACTATCAACCCCCTCAAGCTAAATAGGGATAAATACACGAGTGTGTTCCCCGCTTATCGGTGTACATAGACCTAGAGTAAAGATTAGTCCTGAACATTGTCCAGGATTAGAGTATTCTTGATGGTTGGTTAGGAATCTATTGTGGTGGCCTTAATAACCCCCTAGAGGTTAACAGGCCTTAAGTCCAAAGTCAAATCAAAACCACTGAAGATAAGCTTTGATGATAGTTACAAGAAATACTTACAATATATTACCAATTATTATTTTGACAAAGAGTAGCAACAAATTAGGTTATAACAGATACATGTTCTCTCGGTGGAAATTATGAGGAACAGCTGTCTACTTGGTTTCTGTTACATGTAAGATGAAAGGTCAAGGGATGGAAGGGCACCAACCATCATTATCAGGAGCACAGGACCAGCGAACGTCCAGATAATGTTTCCAGGTTCGAGCCAGCATCTGTCAACATAAATACGAGCATCAGTTCAGAGAAACGGCAGAGTGAGCAACAGGGCATGACGAACAAAGTGATGGAAAAAACAAAATGACAAAGGGTACCAAGTGGTATGGCAAATAAGGTTATAGGCTGAACAAACAAGGTGGCAAGGTGAACAAAGTGGCATGGCGATCAAAATGAAAGGTGTACAAATTAGGTGGACAAGGTAGCTGAACAAAGTGGTAGATAAACAAAGAAACATTGCGAACACAGTGGTAGGTGAATAAAGTAGGCGAAAATAGTAGGTGAACAAAGAGGCAGATGAATAAAGCAGGTGAACAAAATGCTCACCCTTGATGTGTTTTCAGGGCCATCCTTTTGGAGTTCCATGCGATAATCACTCGGTTCTACACTGTTCTTTTCATCTCTACATAGATAATAATCAAGCTAGCTTCATCCTCGCTTTGTAATTCAAAAGGATCCTCAAAACTACTTTATAGTATGGGAAACATTCGCACTTAAGTCAATTCTGGACTCTACTTAAAGTGTCAAGATAATATAAACAAATGGCCACTCCACATGAGACACACAAACATTCAAGTCAGTATTAGAGTGAAAGCACTTACACTCTCGCCGTGCCGTAGCCCTGGGCTTGAGTAGCTGCGAGTGTTATGCCCACAAATAACAGAGGGAACCCATAGCCAACAATCACGTAATACTTCAAGGGGTTAAACGTAGCGAAGACCTGAAATATCACCAATATTATTTACCATTTGTGTTAGTGACAAGAAAATATAAGATTTACAACAAGATATAAATATAATAGTGGAATTGAAATTAAAATAATAATTATTGTGCCATTTCTAATAGTACTTTAAATTGTTCAATAATTATTGCAATTGTGTTAATAATTGTAATGGTCAGAGAGTCATCACACTAACGTGACTACATCAACAAGAAAATCCGTAGGAGCCATGATGAGGGCTCGAACCTATAGGGTTGGTGTTCACACACACACGCTCTCGACGACTATACCACGACATGGTATTAGGATTGCAGCCTGGAGTTCTACTGGACACACGAGGAGTGTTCTAGAGCGTGTGCGTGAGAACACCCACCGCAAAGGTTCGAACCCTCCTCACGGCTCCTACGGATTTTCTCACTGATGCAGTCAATTTAGTGTAATTAGTCTCTGTGTATTGAAAGAGGAGCGTCAGAGATAGAACATTCCTAGACGACAGAGCCAGAGTGCATGGGGCGGGGATTGTGTGAAAATATATAGCCATTGATATTAGGCTCAAGGAACACCACCTACATCCTCACTTCCCACGTCCGTTCTTGGCCTGAAGAACTGTTTTTACCAGCAGGACCAGCCAGTGGATTGCTGACCTACTGCAACATAAGATCTTGGACAATATCGAGGACGAAAATCCAAATACACCAAAATAGTAATTACATCTTTTTTTCTTACTATTTCTATTTCAGCTTCCAACTTCATGTTCTGTGTTTACTCTGCATTACCCAGTATTTTAACGATACAGGCTCTTTTAAGCAATTCAACACATCAAAACACTTCTTCTGTTTCATACAGTCACTCTATCAAATAGTGACTGACTAAATGTTACTTGAAAGTGGTGTGAAATGCTGTAGAAAACTGTAAGTAAACATTATTTGAAAAAGATAAAGAATTGACTGAACCGTAAGACATACTGGAATCTCTAAAAATATGAAGTAGCAGCCAGCTTCATAAAACAAATCCTTTAAATAAAAGTTATCCTATCTCACAGGGCATGTTTACAGTCTTCAGTCTGCTGTTGCTGTTTGACTGCCTTACTGACTTACTGAGTGCTGGTAAATGCCATTTCATCGAGTCTGGCTGAGAACTAAACAGTCACGCTATCTCACAAGGCATGTTGCAGTCTTTAATCCACTCTTACTGATTGACCGACTGACTTACTGAGTTTGAAAGATATAAAACTTTAAACTAAGCTAAAAAATGTGTATACACAAGAAATGATTACCACATTCAGTAAACACTTACTAATCTGCTACTTGGTTGACTGAGACAACATATAGACGGTCTTGATGATCGCATTATTATTTACTTTTTCAATGAAAAACTTTAAACTAACTGGAAATGTTGCCACAAGATATGATTTCCACAATCAGTAAACACTTACGGACCTGTTATCTGGCTGAGTGAGACAACATATACAGCCTGGATGCAGGCGATGAGTCACAATAACGTGGTTGAAGAATGGTGACCAGACCACACACTAGAAGGAGAAGGGACGACGACGTTTCGGTACGTCCTGGACCATTCTCAAGTCGATTGTGATGAGGGAGTTTGCTGTTGTTGTTAAAGATTTAGCTATTCAGGACGGAGTGTCCATGTAGCACGGGCTATGGTGAGCCCGTAATTGAGTTTGGTGATATACATGATAACCTTTTTCCTGTGATATTTAGGTCTAAGTTTAAAATGGAGGAGAGGACTTCTCCTTTTTTCCTGCTTATTTTGTCGCTTCTGTTTTATTGCACTGGTTTTAATCTTTTTTTGTTAACTTTATCTTGGTGGCGGATGTAGATGCAGAATGCTCACTAATGAGTCCCATTCCTCAACAGCTTTTCTAATCATTGTAGTCGCGGTGGAATGTGCATCTAATGCAGCTGCTGTCGTTGGATTAATGTTGAGTTTGATGCGCAGGGGTTCAGTAGCTTCACATTCTAGTAAGTAGTGCAATAGCGGCGCCTCTGCCTCAGTTTCACAGATGTGACACTCTTTAACTATTGGGTTCATTACCTCCCAGCAGCACTTGTACCCAAGTCTGAGTCTGTGTATGGCTACTGCAATGTCTCTGGATATCTTTTTGCCAGGCTTGAAAGAGGAGTAACCAGTGGCTTGTTCATACCATATCGCAGTGGATCTTCCTTCCTCTACTTTGGCTCTGTGGCGACTTTTGATAGTTGAGAATATTTTCTTCTTGATTTGCTCCTTTATCTGTGAGAAACTTGAAGGGATATGAACCTGTACAACAGGTAGAGCAGTGGCAGTTTTTGCTAGTGAGTCTGCCTTTTCATTACCATCTATGCCAATGTGACTTGGTATCCAATTTAGGGTGATTGACAGCCCTCGATTATGGGCATCTATTCCTATATGTTGAATTTCTGTGAGGAGATGTATATTATCTCTGTGCTGACTGGATAACAATGCCTGGAGCGAAGATTTAGAGTCTGTATGAATGATGACATCATGTAAATTATTCTCAATTGTATAGTTTATTGCCTCCTTCAGGGCATATAATTCTGTTTGCAATGTTGAGCACCCACTATTCATGCTCCAGTAAGCTTCATGGTTGGTAGTGTAAACTGCTGCCCCAGCAGAACCTTTTTCTTGATCAACTGATCCGTCTGTGAAGATGTGAGTCGTTGTGGGTCTAGAGATAGTTTCCATTTGTTGCTCTATTACTTCCTTGAGCCTCTGCGGGTTACATGCTGATTTTTTAACTGGTAATCTTTCAATGATTATCTTTAGAGTCGATTCTTCCCATGGAGGAGGCTGTCGAAAGTGTTAATATGGTCTATCTTCCCCTTTGTTTTTAATGGTCCATTTCATGTCCATTTTCTCTAAAATCTTGACCACATTATCCATCCATGAGCTTGTTCTGTACTGTAGATTTTTCTGAAAGGATCTCTGTATGCTGTCTTTGATTGACAGCCTGGCAGTTGTTCCAGTAAGTTTTCCTATTATGGTGGCTATCCTTTGTTTCATCCTGTTTTCTAATGCTGGTAAATTGGTTTCCATTCTAAGGTTCTCTCTACGCGTCCATATAGGTGCTCCCAGCATTGTTCTCAGAGCATCATTTTGAGACACTTCCAGTTTCTCCCATTGGTTATCACTGAGGGATGTAAGAGCAGGGGCAGCATAGTCAATGAGTGACCTAACTGCTTGAACGTAGTACATTATGAGTACTGGTAGAGATGCACCCTCTCTAAGACTGGTCAGAGAGCGCAAAACTGAGTTTCTGGCTTTACAGCGTTGCCGAAGATATTAAATATCTTGAGTGAATTTCAACTGGTTGTCTATTATGACTCCTAGGTATTGAAAAGAGGTAACCCACTCAATTTCTTGTCCTTGTATTGCGAGTCTGATGTCTTGAGTTCTCATTTTAACGGCCATTGCTTTTGTTTTATTGCTGTTTATTTTCACTGCTATGCGTTCCGCTTCCCTGCTGATAATATCTAGGCATTTTTGTGCATGGTTCCTTGCACCTTTGCCATTGATGATGACCACAAAGTCGTCTGCGTAGTTAAGAAGTTTGGCTTTTGGTAGCTTGAGCTTCATGAATTGTTCCATGAGACAGTTGAAGAGGAAGGGGCTTAGTATTCCTCCCTGCGGAGTTCCATTTTCCAGCCTCTTTGAGGTCGATGTTTTTCCTTGGAATTTGACTTTAGCTTCTCGGTTAAGCAGGCTTCCTTTGGCAAAAGCAAGAGCGTGTCCTTTGATTTCCTTATCCACAAGGCAGCACAGTGTAGCTGGAGCATTGGCTAACTCGAAGGCTTTTTCAAGGTTTAGAAAAATAAGGATTCCAGGTGTGTCATTGATTTTATCCAGGAGGGAGGTAAGGCATTCTGTGGTTCCAACACCTTTTCTGTAAGCAAACATATTTTGGTGTAGTGGATTGGCTTTCCATTCAATTCGATTAAGAGCCATTCTTTCTGCAGTTTTAGCCAGACAGCTTGTTAATGAGATGGGTCTTGGATTTCCTGGGTCTTTAGGTTTTGGAATGGGAACTATAATTGCACTGTTCCCAAGAGAGTGGTCGGGTTCTTGTCACCCATACTCAGTTGATGAGATTCAAGAAGGCTTCTTCACCCTTTTCTCCTAGCTTGGCTAGCATGTTGTCAGTGATTTTGTCCTCGCCTGGAGCTGTATTTTTAGTTTTCTTTGTAGCACTTCTGAGTTCTTTTAGATTGAAAGGTTGGTCTAGTCTCTCCGGATTCGTGGGAGAGTTAAATGTAATTTTGTTATATTTCTATACATTCCAAATTATTTTTTTCAGTTTTTCCTATACAATTTTTCGTTATAAAGAAAAAAACATGCGAGCTCACTAAACTTTGGTCCTTCCACGACCACATTCATTCCAGAAAAATACCGTTTATAGGTATTTATATAGGTATTTATAGGCTAGTGCTGCATTCACCCTCTTCACCACTTCACTTTTCACCTATTCACCACTTCAGTCGCTGAGTGTAGCAGTACACAGTTACAGTCACTCCCTCAGTTACTCTTTTAGTACAGTGTAGCCATGTCTCCCCAGGATATGACTTTCCTAACCATCCTTCTTGAATTATTAACGTCAGAAGGACACAGTGATATAGTAGCAAGAGCAAGGAAAATTGCTGAAGACGACCCAACCCTAAACGAAGCACCGTGGCAACTTGTAGGCAACGGAAAGGCTAACAAACGAAGAAGAACCGAAGAAACGTCCAAAGAAACCAAACTAGAAGCCAACCAGAACTCAAGAGCAGCACCCAAACCAATGCCAAGGACCATATTCAAGACCAAAAAACCAGTGGATGGTCCCACTTATGCTTTCATTGCCGCACTGGAAAAGAATAATCCAGGATCAGATCTTAGAGCCAAGCCCGACATTAGAGGTAGATATAACATATCCACAGATAATCCGGATATAATCACAAACCTCAGGAACACAGAACACCTAGTGGAACTGAAACCAGAAGAAA